AGCTAATTTTGTATTTTTATTAGAGACAGGGTTTCACCACGTTGGCCAGGCTGGTCTTGAACTCCTGGTTATAAGTGATCCACCCACCTCAGCCTCCCAAAGTGCTGGAATTACAGGCGTGAGCCACCACGCCCTGCTCTGAGTTTACTAATGTAGGTGCTCTTAGGTGCTCACCCAGCCTAATTTTTTTGAAGTGTTGGCATATTTTAAAGTTTCAAGAGCTCAAAGCAAAAAACCTCATTGTGGATACTGCAAAGAGATGTTAATAAAGGATTACACTTTATTTCATCTGCACTATCTTCCCTTTTTCTTGTTGTGTTTTTCAGGACAGCCTTCTTGGTCTCTCACTTTCTCTGCCTCATTAGCAAGTCCGTCGGCAATCAACGCTATTACGAGTCTCTCTCTGACTGTCTTCACTTTCCTCTCCTGTTTCCTGATCTCTTCCTCAGTGACCACAAGTTGTTTGCAGAGGAGCTGTGAGACACCCACTCCCTCTCCGGGAATTGACTCCGCCACATCTGAAGAGCAGGCAAGTGGGGGCATGGGGCAGGAGTGCTCCAGACCACCAGCAAGCTCCCCCAGCAGAGAGGCACCTGTGCAACTAGGTGTGAGTTTTTGCAAGGTATTGGCAAGATCCAAAGTACTTAAAAGTTCTCCTGCACTGCTGTAGGCCTGGAGTCCTTGCAGTCTCTTCTGCCAGCAGACCTGTTGGGGTTTCTCCAAGCTGTCCTCCCACTGATGATATCTAACCTCATTGCCAGGATGGGATGTAATTCTCGTAACTGGCCTCTTGAATGTGTAACTGGACATTCTCAGAGGGATTGAGGTGCTCAAGCCAGGCTTTGATTTGCATTGGTTTACACAGTCACGTTGCTTCCTCTGTGAACTCTTAGCCATCACATTTCTTTTCCTCTTATACTGTAAAAACAAATCATAAAATCGGGTCAAATTAATCAGTAAAGCCTGCCTTCTCAGGACAAGGATCTCAGCTGTTTTGGTTTCACCCTTCCTCTCTCCCTCTGTGGTAGGTCTGACCTGCTTCCTGGGACATCATCAGGCAGATCTGAGTCAAGCACAGAAAGTTCAAGGTAAAAACTCTCCTCCATCATCCTGCAAAACCCCTCCTTGTTTGAGTACCATTTTATTATCTTTGTGTCCTTGTCACTCTCAAATGCTCAAGTCCTGATACTCCCTCTCAAGACACTACAGTAGTCTTTTTCTAAATCCCAAATCTTGCTTTTTTTTTTTTTTTT